GTACAAGGTTGCCTGACCCTGTTTATTAAAAAGCACTAGTTATTGCTGACATTGTTCTTGTTATAACTTACTTAGTCATTATTGGGCATTACTGAATTATCTTTACTACTATAAAACGTTCAGACTGGGTGCAGTGGCTCATGCCTGTAATCCCAGCGCGCTGGGAGGCCCAGGCAGGCAAATTGCCTGAGGTCAGGAGTTCGAGCCCAGTCTGGCCAACATGGTGAAACCCTGTCTCTACTAAAAATACAAAAAAAATTAGCCGGGCGTGGTGACATGCGCCTGTAATCCCAGCTACTTGGGAGGCTGAGGCAGGGGAATTGCTTGAACCAGGGAGGTGGAGGTTGCAGTGAGCCAAGATCACGCCACTGCACTCCAGTCTGGGTGACAAAAGCAAGACCCTGTCTCAAAAAAGAAAAAAAAAAAAAAGTTCAATTTGTTGGAAGTTTCATATTTTTAATCCAATTTTTTAAAAATTTTAAGTAAAAGAGGGGTTTATTTTTATGCTTTAAATATACTTTCATTTTCTTAGATATACCTATAAATTTTGTATTATAGTTTCTATATGATGTATGTCTTTAGACCATTATATGGCAAAAAAAGGCATAAAAAAAAAGTCTGATGGCCGGGTGTGGTGGCACACGCCTGTAATCCCAGAACTTTGGGAGGCCGAGGTGGGCAGATTGCCTGAGCTCAGGAGTTCAAAACCAGCCTGGGTAACATGGTGAAACCCCATCTCTACAAAAAACACGAAAATTAGCCGGGCATGGTGGCACTTGTCTGTGATCCCAGCTACTTGGGAGGCTGAAGGAGAAGAATCGCTTAAACTCAGAGGGCGGAGGTTGCAGTGAGCCGAGATTGTGCCACTACACGCCAGCCTGGGTGACAGAGTGAGATTTCGTCTCAAAAAAGGAAAAAGAAAGTCTGAAATAAACATGATGAAAGTATCACATGGGAATTATTCTGGAAAGCAATTTAGAAATCTGTACCAAGGTCTTAAAAATATTCATACCCTTTAACCCAGTAATCTGACATCCTCAGAAAAAAGAAGAAATGATGAGACATTTGAGGCATAGAGGCAATATAAGAATTGTTCATTGCAATATTAATTATAATAGCAGAATTCAAAAGGCACATATATAAATTATGCCACATCCATTCATTTTATGAAATATCATGCAGCCTGTTACAAAGACTATTTACTGTCATAGGAAATGAGTACAACACTTACAAGGTAAGTGTGTATAAGTCACAGAAAGAGAATGTGCCAAAATACTAACATCAGTTACTGAAGGAGGTGACGGTTTTTTTTTTTTTTTTTTTGAGACAGAGCCTTGCTCTGTCGCCCAGGCTGGAGCGCAGTAGCGCGATCTCTGCTCAATGCAAGCTCCGCCTCCTGGGTTCACGCCATTCTCCTGCCTCAGTCACCCAAGTAGCTGGGACTACAGGCGCCTGCCATCACACCCAGCTAATTTTTTTTGTATTTTTTAGTAGAGACGGGGTTTCACTGTGTTAGCCAGGATGGTCTCCATCTCCTGACCTTGTGATCTGCCTGCCTTGGCCTCCCAAAGTGCTGGGATTGCAGGAGTGAGCCACCGCACCCGGCCCCTTTTCTACTTTTTGAGACAGAGTCTCGCTCTGTCACCCAGGATAGAGTGCAGTGGCACAATCTCGGCTCACTGTAACCTCCACCTCTGGGTTCAAACAATTCTCCTGCCTCAGCCTCCAAAGCAGCTGCAATTACAGGTGTGCGCCGCCATGCCCGACTAATTTTTTTGTATTTTTAGGAGAGACGGGCTTTCGCCATGTTGGCCAGGCTGGTATTGAACTCATGGCCTCAAATGATCTGCTTGCCTCAGCCTCCAAAAGTGCTGGGATTACAGACACGAGCCACTACACCTGGCCATGTATGCTTTCTTTTAATTTTGCTATTTCTTTTTTTTGTTTGTTTTTTTGAGATAGAGTTTCACTCTGTCATCCAGGCTGGAGTGCAGTGGGGTGATCTCAGCTCACTGCAACCTCCACCTCCTGGGTTCAAGCGATTCTCCTGTTTCAGCCTCCTGAGTAGCTGGGATTACAGGGGCTCGCCATCATGCCCAGCTAATTTTTGTATTTTTAGTGGCGACGGTGTTTCGCCACATTGGCCAGGCTGGTCTTGAACTCCTGACCCTTCTGACCTCAGGTGATCTGCTCGCCTCAGCCTCCCAAAGTGCTGGGATTAGAGGTGTGAGCCATCGTGCCCGGCCAATTTAGATATTTCTTAAAATAAAATTTCCAGAATATTAGTTTTTCTAATTAAGTAGATTTAAGTTATTTTTTTATTATTTATTTATTTGAGACAGAGTTTCACTCTTTTTGCCAAGGCTAGAGTGCAGTGGCAAGATCTCAGCTCACCACAACCTCTGTCTCCCTGATTCTCCTGCCTCAGCCTCCCAACTAGCTGGGATTACAGGCATGCGCCACCACGCCCAGCTATTTTTTTGTGTTTTTAGTAGAGATGGGGTTTCTCCATGTTGGTCAGGCTGGTCTTGAACTCCTGACCTCAGGTGATTCGCCCGCCTCCGCCTCCCAAAGTGCTGGGATTACAGGTGTGAGCCACCGCACCTGGCCTTAGATTTAAGTTATTTTTTACGTTAACTAGATAATTGGTGATATAGAATTACAATTAATTATCATGATTATTTTATGACAATAGCATTTAACTATGTTAAAAAAAGTTCATATATTTTAGAGACATATATTAAAATGGTTATAGAACAAATGATATGATGATTGAGATTTGTTACAAAATAATCCAAACTTGTAGGTGGGACAGTGGAAAGAATGGGAGATGGGAGTATTATAAAACGAGACTGGGCCAGGTGCAGTGGCTCATGCCTGTAATCCCAGCACTTTGGGAGGCCGAGGCAGGTGGATCACTTGAGGTCAGGAGTTTAAGACCAGCCTGGGCAACATGGTGAAACCCTGTGTCTACTAAAAATATAAGAATTAGCTGGGCATGGTGGTGTGCACCTGTAATCCCAGCTACGTGGGAGGCTGAAGTGGGAGAATTGCCTGAACCCAGGAGGCAGAGGTTGCAGTGAGCAGAAATTGTGCCAATGCACTCCAGCCTGGGCAACAGAGCAAGACTCCACCTCAAAAAAAAAAAAAAAAAAAGGCAGGATTGGCCGTGTGCTAGTATTTGTTGAATCTGGGTGATAAACAAGAGTTCATTATGCTAGTTTTTCTACTTTTGTATAAATTTGGAGTTTAATAAAAAAGTTAATTTTGAAACTTAAAAGTAAAAAGCACTAATAAGCACTACTTTGAAATTTAACATATAATTAGCCATTAATCTATGCTGAATAAAGACTAGAAATACCTCACATTAAGAGGATGTCAGCTGATCAGAATTTTCCTTCATCTACTTCTGAGTTGTGACTTAAAAACAAAACAGAAAAAAAGGTAAATATTTTCTTCATTATACCATCAAATGTAAAATGAGCCAATATTTTTAGGTGCTGCTAATATACTGTCAATTATGATTGTAAGATACTTCTCAATTTCAGAGACATTGAAATGTGAAACTATGTGCATCTTAGAATGGATGAAATACAGCAATGGCAGGTCAGATTCAGCTATGAGTCTTTTGTTTTCTGACCTAGGATCAGCGGGTCTGATTATTTATCTTGTAATTCTTAACATGGAGTTTTCTTTTTCTTTTTTTTTTTGAGACGAGGTCTCGCTCTTGTCCCCAGGCTGGAGTGCAGTGGCACAATCTCAGCTCACTGCAACTTCTGCGTCCCGGATTCAAGCGATTCTCCTGCCTCAGCCTCCCGAGTAGCTGGGATTATAGACACCCACCACCACGCCCAGCTAATTTTTGTTTTGTTTTTTTTTTTAAGACGGAGTTTCACTCTTGTTGCCCAGGCTGGAGAGCAATGGCGCGATCTCAGCTCACCACAACCTCCGCCTCCCGGGTTCAAGCGATTCTCCTGCCTCCCAAAAACTCACTCCCAAAAACCCGCCTTGGCCTCCCAAAATGGTGGGATTACAGGCATAAGCCACTGTGCCCAGCCTTTTATTTTTCTTTTTTTAAAAAAGTGGGGGACAAAAGTCTGAATGATAGTTACTTGAAAAGAATGTATTTTCATACAGTGGAATTCCTATTTAGCAAGCACTTACAAGGCTGGGCACAAGGTAAAGTTTTAGGAGTTGATCCAGATTTATGGTTTGCATCCATTCTCCTGATGCTAACAGGCCTACAGGACCCCCTGCAGCAGCCATGAGCAGCTAAATGAACTACCCACGTCTATTTGGGAATGTGCTCCCATACATCAAAAGCTGTTTTTCTTACTGATTGGTACAGAAATTTTGCAGGGTTAATCAGGTAAGCAAGAAGCACATCCAAAGGATCAATAGGTATTCTTCTTGCCTTGTCCTAATTTCATTTTTCTTTTAATAAATGAAATTGTACAAGGTTTCCTTCACTCAGTTTCAAAAATTTATCCAGTATTGAGGCAAACTTTTTCATTAAAACTACATTTTGCTTCATGTTATTTGCTGTAAATTTTTATTTTTATTTATATATACACACATATATTTTTGGAGACAGTCTCACTGTATCAACCAGTCTGGAGTGCAGTGGTGCGATCTCGGCTCACTGCAACCTCCACCTGCTGGGTTCAAGCAATTCTCCTGGCTCAGCCTCCCAAGCAGCTGGGACTACAGGCGCACACTGCCACGCCCGGCTAATTTTTTTGTATTTTTTAGTAGAGATGGAATTTTACTGTGTTGCCTGGGCTGGTCTCGAACTCCTGACCTCAGGCAATCTGCCCACCTTGGTCTCCCAAAGTGCTAGGATCACAGGCGTAAGCCACCGTGCCTGTCCTATTTGCTGTAAATTTTTTTAAATATGCATTCAAATATTCATAGGATTCAGGCAGTAACCATTTACAAACAGACAAAATAGCCAAAGCAAATATTAAACGTGCTACTTTAATTTGTACCAACTACTTTACTTTTCAAAGTAGGCTTCTCGTCTCTTCCGAAGCTCTTCTGAAGTAAGATTTGTACCTGATGTCTGTGGAATATCTTGAGATATATTTCTGGAACTACCTGAAAACAAAACACAACAGAACAAAAACCAATCACTGTATTTACCAATTCAAGCAACAATACATTTGTTTATACTCATTTGAGTAAGCTTTTAAAACGTTTTTTCTTGAAGAATATTCTACTCTTCTGGCTGGGCGTGGTGGCTCACACATGTAATCCCAGCACTTTGGGAGGCCAAGGCAGGTGGATCACCTGAGGTGAGGAGTTCAAGACCAGCCTGGCCAACAGGGCAAAACCATATCTCTACTAAAAGTATAAAAAATTAGCCAGGCATCGTGGTAGGTGCCTGTAGTCCCAGTTACTCAAGAGGCTGAGGCAGGAGAATCGCTTGAACCCGGAAGGCAGAGGTTGCAGTGAGCCAAGATTGTTGCACTCCAGGCTGGGCGACAGTGAGACTCTTAATTCAAAAAACAAAAGAAATCTAAAGCTGATTTCTGTCCCTGCTAATCCAGCAGGACTCTATTAATCAAAAATGGGATTGCACACCATATGGAATACTCAGAGGTGTGCCTAGAGGCAAGAAAAATTCAGGATGAAAATAATCTTCCCATTAATGGAATCTCAATTTTATCTGGATATCTAAGGAAATCAATTGATAAATAATTTCATTAGAAAGTAGAAGCAAATACACATAAGTTAGAGAAAAATAAAACAAAAAACCCACTTCAAACTTTTAATTAAGCAACTTCGAGCTATGTCTTCACATTTTTCTTTGCCTAGACTGTATAGGGGATATGTTTTCGCTTTTGAAATTGATAGTTTATATCACTAAAAAACTGGGCCCACCAAAGCGGGCTTAAGGTTTAAGTTGCACAGCCAATAAATGTTGGCTTTTTGTATAATCAGTTTATATCCCCTGTCCAGGCCCTTCCATAGTGTCTAATGACATACATTTATGAAAGAGCTTATTTGGGTAAGGGTCAACTGATACCCACAAAGATTAACACCACAATTGACTACTGTGTTAGTACAGGTTATTGAAACCAAATAAATAACCAGGAGTAAAAATATAACTACTCCTAATAAAATATAGGTTGTAAAAAGTTACTTCCATTATAAGAAATCTAAAGGGAAAGCCCACTATATAGCTATTGCTTCTGCAGTAATTGTCAAAACACTTCTAAGAGTACATTAACTTCCAGGAAACCTAAGAATAATTGGAATCAATTCTTCAGCAATGAATACAACACACATCAGAATGTCTTTACCTTGCATACTTAGCTGAATAGCCCTGCGGAGATCTGCTTCCTCATCTTCCATGTCAATTTCTTGGCGACTTAGTGCCAGAGCCCTCTGCAAATCCTCCTCATCTTCATCTAACATTCCTGAGCCATCATTTGCTTCTAACACTCGTTCCAGGTCTGTTTTATGGACTCTAAAGAACAAAAGCACTGGTAGTAACTGCAACCAATCTTCTATTTTAGACATAACATAAAGGCATTTGTAATGTAAAGGCTTTACGTAAGCCAAAACTTAAAACGTTTTCTGGCAAATAAGCTCTAGTAATATAATGATTGTGTTGTAATTTGAATCCAACTAAGTTTTTTTTCTCCGTTTCTTTTTTTGAGACAGGGTCTGACTCTCTTGCCCAGGCTGGAGTGCGGTGGTGTGACTGTGGCTCACTGTAGTCTCCACCTCCCCAGTTTTGGGTGATCCTTCCTCCTCTGCCTCCCAAGTAGCTGGGACTACAGACACGCACCACCACGTCTGGCTAATTTTTGTACTATTTGTAGAGGTGAGGTTTTGCCATGTTGCCCAGGCTGGTCTCAAACTCCTGGGTTGAAGCAATCAGCCTGCCTCAGCCTCCTGAAGTGCTAGGAATACACCATACCTGCTAACTTAGTTAATATATTTAAGTATTTCAAAGAGTTGATTCAAGTTCGAACTAATAAACTTCACTAAAATGTAAGATCCAAAATAGAGGTGCCAACAACACAAGGACCACATATTCAATGTAAGCATAAAAATTTAATTCTCATAATGAAATATCGTCATATGTTCCATACTGCAGGCCTCATTTTTACCTTTGCTCTTTCAGTTGTGCTAATTCTTCTCCAATAAGTTTTGGTCGATGCATCTGTTGGACCCTGATCATCTGCAGGAGTTGGTCAGCTTCGCAATCTGGCAGGTCACCCTTAACAACAAATATAGAATAACCTAAAACAAAAAGGCAAAAATCAACCTAAACAGCTAGTAAAGAGATTCAAAATTGATGTAAAATGCTAGTAAAGAGGCAGCACAGTACACTGGAAAAAAATACAAGCTGAGGATTCAGAAAGATTTTAGTTCAAATAATGATTCTTATACTTACTAGTAAAGTCATCTAGGATAAGTTACTTAAAATCTCTGAGCCTCACTTTCTCCATTGTAAGACTGGAATAGCCGTCTCACTGAGTGACTGTGAGAAGTAAATGTCTGTAAAGGGCCCTACTAATATAGCACTTGAATGAGCAGGCTACTCACTTACTGGTATGAGAGAGAGTAAAGGAGTCGGTAAGAGCAACTGATTGAGAATCAGACTGCCTGCATCTGATCCCAGTTCTCCCACTTCCTAGCTGCATTTGTCTTGGTTTCTACTGTTAAACATAATGATACTGGTACCTTCCTGTGATGGTTAATATTATCAACTTGATTGGATTGAAGGCTACAAATTATTGTTTCTGGGTGTGTCTGTGAGGGTGTTTCCAAAGGAGATTAACATTTAAGCCAGTGAACTGGGAAAGGCAGACCCACCCTCAATCTGGGTGGTCACCATCTAATCAGCTGCCAGCTCGGCTAGAATAAATCAGGCAGAAATAAGAGTGTGGAAGGACCAGACTTGCTGAGCCTTCACCTTTCTCCCATGCTGGATGCCTCCTGCCCTCAAATATCAGACTCCAAGTTCTTCATCTTTTGGACTCTTGAACTTACACCAGTGGTTTGCCAGGGGCTCTTGGGCCTTTGGCCACAGGCTGAAGGCTGCACTGTCAGCTTCCCTACTTTTGAGGTTTTGGGACTTGGACAGGCTTCCTGGTTCCTCAGCTTGCAGACAGCCTATTGTGGGACTTCACCTTGTGATCATATGAGTCAATATTCCTTAGTACATTACCCTTCATATATACATCTATCTTATTAGTTCTGTCCCTCTAGAGAACCCTGACTAATACACTCACAGGGCTGTTTTGAGGACACAGTCAGATAATGTGTGCAATAACTAGTAACATGGCTAAAACTAATCATCTATGGAAAGAGCTACCCTGACCCACACATGTACACCCCTTGTAACTAAAAATGGGAGCTGAGAAGCCAAATACCTAAAAGCTATTTAAGGTGTCAAACGTGTGGTTTGCATCCCAAAAGAATTACATTAGTCTAGTGTGACTGTGTATAAATATGATTCCAGAAATCCAGGGTTTCCCCAAGCTAGATGCTACACACAAAAACTAAGAGTGGGCTATACCTAAAACAATCTAATTAATTTAAGTTTTTCTATTATTAATTATTATTATTATTTTTTTATTTGAGATGGAGTCTCACTCTGTCACCCAGGCTGAAGTGCAATGGTGCAATCTCAGCTCATTGCAACCTCTGCCTCCCAGGAGGTTCAAGCGATTCTCCTGCCTCAGCCTCCTGAGTAGCTGGGATTACAGGCACCCGCCACCACGCCTGGTTAATGTTTGTATTTTTAGGAGAGACGGGGTTTCACCATGTTGGCCAGGTTGGTCTCAAACTCCTGACCTCAGGTGATCTGCCCACCTCAGCCTCCCAAAGTGCTGAGATTACAGGTGTGAGCCACCGCACCTGGCACATTTTTCTTAAACTCTGGTATTTGTTATTGGATATCCTTTGTTAGAATTAACACATAATGGGACAAAGATTATAAGAACTATTAATGGAAAACCTCAAAATAGTACAATGAACATTTTTTATGAGGACAACTGTATTCAGAGTTCAAATGGTTTAATGTGTTTTCTGCCAGTAAAACTGTTTCTATATCGTACAATAAATATGCCAGCTCACCATGGTATTCTATGAAGAGTGTCTGAAGAATGGATACTCTGCCCTGTTCAGGGGTCATGGTAAAGATCTTGGGTTTTACTCAAGACTTCAGATTTTATTTTACTTTTCAATTTTTTTTTTTTTTTTTTTGAGAGTCTTGTTCTGTCACCCAGGCTGGAGTGCAGTGGTATGATCTTGGCTCACTGTAACCTCTGTCTCCTGGGATCAAGTGATTCTCCTATCTCAACCTCCCAAGTAGCTGGGACTACAGGTGCACAACATCACGCCGTTAATTTTTGTATTTTTTTGGTAGAGACAGGGTTTCACCATGTTGGCTAGGCTGGTCTCAAACTCCTGACCTCAAGTGATCTGCCCCTCATCCTCCCAAAGTGCTGGGATTACAGGCATGAGCTACCACGCTCAGCCTAAGACTTCAGATTTTATTCTAAGTGTGCTGGGAAGCCACTGAAAGACAAGGAGTGAGGGTGGGACATAACAGGCATTACACTGGTTAAGAAGCACTCTGAGCGGCTCTATCAGTATAATATATAGGAACCAGAGTACAAGAAGAGTCACCCTTATGGAAATGGAAAACCTGATAGATAGCATGGATAGAAAAAAAAGTAAGTCTTTCATAGACATGTTCAGTTTGAAATGCTTTTTGGACTTCAAAGTGGAGATGCCAAAGCTAGGAGTTAGTCAAAGCTAGGTGTTCAGGGTAGATGTCAAGACTGAAGATAAAAGTTTGGTAATTACTGACACCAGATCTTATTTAGAGATATACTTAAGATCCATGAAAGGGATCTGAAAGATGCAGGCAACAAGTTAGGAAAACCACAGCATGGTGGGCTGGAGGTCAAGGGCAGACAGGGTTTTTAAGAAGGGATATCATTAGGAACCAAGGTTTTAACTATAAAAGAAAAAAGATACAAGTATCTAAAATCAAAGAATTAAAAACTCTATATTCCTAAATGTGAATTCACAATAACTACATAACAAACCCAGTAGCAACAAGCATGCCAGCACTCAAATTGTGATCTCTAAATACCATTACTAAAAGATGGTTAGGCACAGTGGCTCATGCCTGTAATCCCAGCACTTCAGGAGGCCGAGGCAGGTAGATCACCTGAGGCCAGGAATTCGAGACCAACCTGGCCAATATGGTGAAACCCTGTCTCTACGAAAAATATAAAAATAAAAAAACATTTAGCCAGGGGCCAGGCGCAGTGGCTCATGCCTGTAATCCCAGCACTTTGGGAGGCTGAGGTGGCAGATCACCTGAGGTCAGGAGTTCGAGACCAGCCTAACCAACACGGAGAAACCCCTTCCGTCTCTACTAAAAATACAAAATTAGCCAGGCGTGGTGGCTCATGCCTGTAAACCCAGCTACTCGGGAGGCTGAGGCAAGAGAATCGCTTGAACCCGGGAGGCAGAAGTTGCAGTGAGCCGAGATCACGCCATTGCACTCCAGCCTGGGCAACAAAAGGGAAACTCCATCTCAAAAAAAAGAAAAAATTATCCAGTCGTGGTGGCACGCACCTGTAATCCCAGCTACTCGGGAGGCTGAGGCAGAAGAATCGCTTGAACCCAGGAGGCGGAGTTCAAGAAAAGGAGAAGGCACACTAGAGACAATCCTAAGGAAAAAATAAAAATGGGGAGGCAGCTGGAGTTTCATGGAATTAAGAGAGGATTTTTCTTTTTAATCACTGGAGTTAAAAAGCTTATTTTTCTGCTTATAGTATATTACCAAAAAAAAAAAAATAGGGGGAAACTGATTATACAAGAGAGTGGAGAGATGAAAGCAGGAACATCTTGAGTAGGTGAGAGGAGCTGGGATCCAGCCCACAAGTGAGGGACTGGTCTTCGCTAGAGGTAGGGGACCATTCATCTATTTTAGTAGTCTCAAAGCACAGGTGAAGATATAAGCAAATTGGTACATTTGCTGGTAGAAAGGTAAGAACATAATTTTAATTGCTTCTATGTTCTCAGCAGAATGTAATGGAAGGCCATACACAAGGTGTGTAAGGAAGGGAGAGGAAAGTGGTTAAAGGTTTGAAGACAGAAGCTGTGAAATTAGTCACCTTGGAAAGTGGCACATGATTTTTTATAAACATTTGGACAGTGGTACATGATTTTTTATAAACATCTAGAGAGTGGCACATGATTTTTTATAAACATCCGGAGAGTGGTACATGATGTTTTATAAACATCTTGGAGAGTGATACAGGGATTTACTAAGAAAACATAGTAGAAATACCAGGCAGCACTAAAGGCTCATCTGAATTTTGTGATTATAACAAATTTAAAGTAAAACCTTAGCTAGGTGTGGTAGCACAAGCCTGTAGTCCCAGCTACTCAACAGCCTGAGGCAAGAGGATCACTTGAGCCCAGGAGTGTGGGGCTACAATGAGCTGTGATCATGTCGCTGCACTCCAGCCTGGGCTTCAGAGAGGCCTAGTCACTTTGATAGATGGATGGATGGGTGAATGGATGGATAGATCGTTTAAGAAAAAAGTAAAACCAATCATCATGTTTTATGTTATTTTTTAGCCATAGCCCGCTACTCTGGTACAGGAATGGACAAGGCCAAGTTTTGGTTTTAACCAGGGTTGAGATTTTTGTCATTCAAGTATGATGGAGGGAGAGAAGGGGGAAACAAGCTGAAGAATGCAATGGAGTGATTATAACAATGAATTACAGAAAATAAGCAGTAGAAGAAAGGAAGAATGCATATAAAGGAAATGCTTGGGCCCCACGGTAGGGTTTAAAGAATGGCTGGAATAAAAAAAACAGATAAAACATGGTTTAAGGATAGGAGGTGGTAGTTAAAGAGTAATACGCTTGCAATTGAGATTTGACAGTGGTTATGATTATTGGTAATAGCTAAGCAAGAGTGAGTGATTTTGAAACTAAGAAGCAGGTACTGGATTACTGGATTGATTAGCAATACAGAAATCATTAAGACTGATAAAAGGAGTTGAAGTAGAGAAAAACACAATGAGTCAGATCCTAAAATCACTGATGAAAAGAGACTTTTGGATGAGTGCAAAAGGGCAAGGGATAGTTTAATCTAGGGGCGCGTATTTCTTTTGTCTTTGAGACGGAGTCTCACTCTGTCGCCCAGGCTGGAGGGCAGTGGCGCAATCTCAGCTCACTGCAAGATCCACCTCCCGGGTTCACACTATTCTCCTGCCTCAGTCTCCCAAATAGCTGAGACTACAGGTGTCCACCACCACAACCGGCTAATTTTTTGTTATTTTAGTAAACACGGGGTTTCCCCGTTAGCCAGGATGGTCTTGATCTCCTGACCTCGTGATCTACCTGCCTCGGCCTCCCAAAGTGCTGGGATTACAGGCGAAAGCCACCACAACTAGCCCTTAGGGGCACGTATTTCAAAGAAACTGGAGTTTATAGGGAAGAACAGTGGCCTAGAAGAGGCAAAAAAGAAAAATATCTATCCCTCCTCTCAGCCGTGTGGTATGTGATGTATAAAAGAAAAAACCATTACTTAGAAGGGCTGCAAAGAAAGCAGCATCCTCAGAAGAGGGAGGGCCAGGTACCAGTGAGAACTCTAATGGAACAGCGTCACCCAAATCACAGCCTATCACCACGTCAAACCTAAAGATTGTTTCACTGCCACTGCCAGAAAAACAGTATTGTCACACTGTCATCTAATGCTCCGGTTTATTTACCTACTTCGAAAGATAACGTTACAAAATTTTCAGCCTTTACTTACCTTCCTGTTGTAATTGAGCCAAGAAAAGTGCAAGATATGTATCTGATATTAACTCTGGACCCGTCAAGAGAGAATTCAAGTTAAACCACTGGAAAAAAATTGTTAATATTTAAGTTAGTGCATATTATAGGTAATAAAGTAGTTTCACATGTTAAGAACAGATATAACCCATCAAAGCTTAGTAAGATTGTTTAAACTCTGGAAATATTTCAAGTTGAGCTCTTTCCTCTGACTGAATAATGTCTTAAAAGAGAATACTGCAGATTTATCACTATTACTTTTTTTTTTTTTTTTTTGAGAAGAGTCTCACTCTGTCACCCAGGCTGGAGTGCAGTGGCGTGATCTCAGATCATTGCAACCTCCGTCTCTCAGGTTCAAGCAATTCTCCTGCCTCAGCCTCCCAAGAAGCTGGAACTGTAGGCCCGCGCCACCACACCCAGCTAATTTTTGTATTTTTAGTTAGAGACAGCACATTTGCCACATTGACCAGGCTGGTCTCAAACTCCTGACCTCAAATGATCCTCCCGCCTCAGCCTCCCAAAGTTCTGGGATTACAAACATGAGCCACTGCACCCGGCCTCTGTTAAATACTTTTTTTTTTTTTTTTGAGACAAGAGTCTCGCTCTGTTGCCCAGGCTGGAGTACAGTGGCGCAATCTCAGCTCACTGCAAGCTCCACCTCCCAGGCTCACGCCATCCTCCTGCCTCAGCCTCCCGAGTAGCTAGGACGATACGCGCACACCGCCACACGCGGCTAATTTTTTGTATTTTTAGTAGAGATGGGGTTTCACCGTGTTAGCCAGGATGGTCTTGATCTCCTGACCTTGTGATCCACCCGCCTTGGCCTCCCAGAGTGCTGGGATTACAGGCGTGAGCCACGGTGCCCGGCCCTGTTAAATAGTTTTTTAAAAACAACACTTTGCTTTAAACTATAAACATTAAACCCTCCCAAAAGAATAAAAATGGATAGTCCGTAGTTGAAATGTCTTTATTAATAGCTATAGTTAAATCTTTTTTCAAAGTATCAGTCAAACATAACTCTAATCGCATCTATCATACTGATGGGAGGAAAAATGACAACTATACAAAGTTTTCCCATTACCGATAATTTTTGTCAAAAGATTCCAATTGTGAGAAAGTCAGAAGTTCCAGGAAGATAATTTATAATTACCAACTCAGTTTTTAAAACTCACTAAATTAGGTGGGCATGGCAGCTCATGCCTATAATCCGAGCACTTTGGGAAGCTAACGTGGGAGGACTACTTGAGCCCAGGAATTTGAGACCAGCCTGGGCAACATAGTGAGACCCTCTATAATTTAAAAATGTTTTTAAAAAACGCTATCACATATAACATATAAACACTTTTTTTTTTTTAAAGAGATGGTCATCTAGGCTGGAGTGCAGTGGTGCAATCATAACTCACTGCAGCCTTGAACACCTGGGCTTAAGTGATTCTCTCGCTTCATCCTCCCAAATAGCTGGGACTACAGGTGTGCACCAAGATGCTTGACGAATTTTCTAATTTTTTTTGTAGAAATGGGGGTCTCACACTATGTTGTACAGGCTGGTCTCAAACTCCTGGCCTCAAGACATCCTCCCACCTCAGTCTCCCTACGTGCTGGAATTACAGGTGTCAACCACTGCACTCGGCCCTAATTAACATCATTTATCACTACCACATAGTAATCCTAATTTAACCCACAAGATACAAAAAGTGTTTAAAGTTACGTCAATATCATGACCAACTATTTTCCTGGATTTTGACAATGTTAATACTTTTTCCAGCCTTCTTTTTTATTATACAGGGACCTCAGACAGAGTCTATAGTGAAAAATATAGTTTTAAACAAAAATATAAATTAGAACCAAAGAAAATAAAATAAACCAAAATTTGACATCTTCTGTATTTGTTTTTTTTTTTGTTTTTTAAAGATGGAGTTTCACTCTTATTGCTCAGGCTGGAGTGTAATGGCGTGATCTTGGCTCACTAAAACCTCCACCTCCCAGATTCAAGCAATTCTCCTGCCTCAGCCTTCCAAGTAGCTGGGATTACAGGCATGCGCGACCACACCCAGCTAATTTTGTATTTTTAGTAGAGACGGGGTTTCACCACGTTGGCAAAGCTGATCTTGAACTCCTGACCTCAGGTGATCCACCCACCTCAGCCTCCCAAAGTGCTGGGATTACAGGCATGAGCCACAGCGCCCGGCCAACATCTTCTGTATTTGTCAAAGATAATGTAATTCAAAATGTGAAAATTCAATTCTGAAGAACTAAAATTTTTTAAATCTCTCAAAATAATAAGATAGACATTTATTTGCAAATTAATACGAGGGTACTTCTGAAATCTAAGTCTACAGACCTTAAAAATTCAGTGCTTACTTTATACAAAAAAGTAAAAAAATACTGGATCATAATTTTTAAAAACACGTAAATAAAACCCAGAGGAGGTTAAATCATCTCAGCAGTACCCTACCCTGGTTTTTACCTAGAGGTGATTCCCACTCGCGTCAGCCTCTACTGCTGTAAGTTGCACTTTTTAAATTTTTTTCCGGTAGAGACAAGGTTTCACTGTGTTGGTCCAAGCCGGTCTCAAGCTCCTGGCCTCAGTGATCTCCCTGCCTCAGCCTCCCAAAGTGCTGGGATTACAGGCGTGAACCACTGCACCCAGCTAGCCCCCACTGTAAGCTTCTAGATTACACCTCCTTAACTTGCTCTTGGCTCCTCAGGAAGAACTTTAGGAAAGAACCAACTTAGGGCTGGGCATGGTGGCTCACACCTGTATTCCCTGTATTTGAGAGGCAGAGATGGACGGATCACCTGAGGTCAGGTGTTCAAGACCAGCCTGACCAACATGGAGAAACCCCGTCTCTGCTAAAAATACAAAAATTAGCTGGGTGTGGTGGTGCACACCTGTAGTCCCAGCTACTCGGGAGGCTGAGACAGGAAAATGGCTTGAACCCGGGTGGCGGAGGTTGCAGTGAGCAGAGATCCCGCCACTGCACTCCAGCCTGGGCGACAGAGCAAGACTCCATCAGAAAGAGAGGAAGAGAGAAAGAACGAACCAACCAACTTAGGATGAAGCTAAGTAGGTGACTTTCCCCACATTTGATTTGGGTGACTTAAAAGAACAATAGGGTTTTTGTTTTTGAATTATCTCTTATAGATTTAATTCAATATACTTTCTTGACATCTTTTTTGGCTTTTATTTACTTTTTTTAAAAAACAAACAGCTTTATTGGGGTATAAGTGATATACAATAAACTTCACATATTTAAAGTGTACAATTTGAAACTTTTTTTTTTTTTTGAGACAGGATCTCCTTCTGTCACCCAAGCTGGAGTGTAGTAGTGCGATCATGACTCACTGCAGGCTTGACCTCTGGGCTCCCTCCTCAGCCTCCCTAGCACCTAGGACTACATGCATGTATCACCACGCCTAGCCAATTCTTCTTTTTTTTTTTTTTTTTTCATTTTTTTGTAGAGTTGGGGTCTTGTGACATTGCCCAGGCTGGTCCTGAACTCCTTGAGCTCAAGCGATCCTCCTGCCATGGCATCCAAAAGTGCTGGGATTACAGACATGAGCCACTGCACCTGGCCTTTGAAATGTTTTGACATTTGTATACTGTACTCCCATGAAACCATTACTACAACCAACATTGTGACCCATTAATCACTGCCACGTTCCCCATGCCTCTCTATGAACCTCCCCTCTCACTCTTCCCTAGCCTTTCCATCCCCAGGCAACCACTGGTGGATCTGCTTTTCATCACTACAGTAGATGAATCTGCACTTTTCTAGACTTTTAATAAATGATACCATACAGCACGTAGTATTCTGTTTCTGGGTTATTCTTTCAGCATAATTATTTTGAGATTCATCCATGTTGCTGCAGGTATCACTAGTTTATTCTTTTTTACTGTGCTAGCTGGTTTTCAAGAACCCTCTTTTAAAGATTCAAAATTCTAATAAAAAGGATGTTAAATGATTCTGTTTCTTAAAATAGCTTGCTCAAGACATATTTCATGTTTTATTTAACAAACAGAAGTGATTTTATGTAGACGTATGTATTACATGGCTTTTGGAATCATATGAATAATCTTACACTAAAGCAAGCATAATTGAATGCTTTATTCATGCTTGACACTATTTCAGGCTTCATGACAGCACTATGCTAAATACAAATCTACAAATGTAGTAATTAACTGACAGAACATAGTCATCACATAAAAACCCACTTCAAAGTAACCACATTTGTATTATATTTAATATAGAATTTTTCTTATGATATAGTTAAATTGCATATACTTGTCACAAATAAATTTACAAGGAAAACTGATATGTTTTAAAATGACAAATTTCTATCTATCAAGATAGATAACCATGCCACAAACACACACATTACTGGTCAGTTTCCTAATTTTAAAGTCAGCAATCCTTTTGTTTTTTCTTTTTAATTTTTAAATTTTTTTTTCTTTTTATGTTTTATAAAACACAGTCTTACTCTGTCACCCAGGCTGGGGTACAGTGGCACAATCATAGTTCACTGCAGCCTCACACTCCTAAGCTCAAGTGATCCTCCTGCCTCAGCCTTCCAAGAAAGCTGGAATTACAGATGTGAGCCACCATACCTGGCTTTTTTTTTTTTTTTTTAAGAGACAGGACCTCCCTTTGTTGCCCAGGTTAGTTTCAAAGTTCTGGCTTCAAGTGATCCCCCAACCTAAGCCTCTCAAACTGTTGGGATTACAGGCATGAGCCACCACATCTGGCCCACATTTTAGTTTTAAATGGGGCACAATATAAGAAAAAAAGACAAGGAAGGGTAAGAAATGTTACCTGTTTTCCTAATTTTCTAACTGTAAACCAGTGTTCCTTATAATTGCATATAAATGATCTTTCATTTCTAAAAAAGAAAACACACAATATTAACTTGAAATATTGAATTCATACTTATGTTGTCTACTGGCAAACATTATATAAAATTTGTGATAATTTAAGATTATATTTACAGTTAAGTGTCACTGATGTTTTTAAAAGATCACACAACCATATGAACGTCTCTGCAGCAGCTTAGTGATGCCGTGCCAAAAGATGGCCTCACGCACCACTTACGGGGCAGCTCTGTGCTGCCACAGACACTGGGGTGCCAGGAAGGCTACAGGGCAGATGCTCATGGACATCACAAAGGTGAAATAGGAAAGTCTGAGGGAATGAAACAGGGAACATCAAAACACAAGTATTCAAAATATATTTCTCTTCTTTAAGAAATATCTTTAAAAATCAAATTTGGGAAAAGAAATGTATGAAATGCAAAACAAAATCTTACATAGGATCGATCCTGAGCCTCTGATACTCTGGACTGTTGAACAGGATTAGTTCTAAACCCCAAACTTTCAAGGCATTGCTTATAACCTGTTAAGAAAAACAGTAACTTTTCATAAGCCAAACCACTCCATTCCAAATTGAAGAAGTGTAGCTATGTCAGTTGTGTAAACACTTTAAGAAGTATAGCTATGTTAGTTGTGTACCTCATATATAAATTTCTCTAGAAGGCTACAGGTTTTTTTTGGGTTTTTTTTTTTCTTTTTTTTTTTTTAAGACAAAGAGTCTTGCTCTGTTGCCTAGGCTGAAGTACAGTGGCATGATCTCGGCTCACTGCAACCTCTGCCTCCTGAGTTCAAGTGATTCTCCTACCTCAGGCTCCCGAGTAGCTGGGATTACAAGCATGCGCCACCACACCCAGCTAATTTTTGTATTTTTAGTAGAGACAGGGTTTCACCTTGTTGGCCAGGCTGGTCTCAAACTCCTGACCTTGTGATCTGCCCGCCTCGGCCTCCCAAAGTACTGGGATTACAGGCATGAGTCACCACGCCCAGCCGGCTATAGGTTTTCAAAAGTGTGTGTGTGTGTATAGATATATCACTAAATCCATAAAAAACATACACATATATATTAGAAGAGTGCTTTTCATACCAGGTCTCTGAGATGTTCCAGAAAACCACACAATTCCTACATAAAACTGCCTCAAAAATCCAGATGTATGTATATTCTACCCATAAGTGCTATTCTTAAAACTAGTCTACTATATACATCTGATAATTTGGCTGCCGTGGGTACTACTTTAGAAAATGTATATTCAACTTACTACTTGCAATGTCAGAAATCGTGTCTATCAAAATAAGTTCTCCCTGGGCACTTAAACTGAAGTTTCCATAGATATCAGACTTCCAGGGTCATGGGCTTGCCACTTGTAGAAAAAAACAAAATGCAAACCTGATTATTTCAATCTGTCTGACAAAAAAAGGGAAACTTCTGAAAATTCACTATCTACCCTCCAAGGTAGCCAACAAAGAAGCAAGTCAACCAGGTACCGGCAAAGACAGAAAGTGAGTGCAAGGCAGTGGGTACCAAGAGCAGCAAGGCACAAATAGGAAACGCCAAGTGCTGGGCCTACTCTGACCTCTGATTCCAGCCCTGCAGTAGCCATTACCTGTTAACAGTGGCATGGTAAAGCACTAGATGGAAATGCTGGTGGATGAGGAGGAGTCCAGGAGGGCAGTACAAGGGAAATACAAACAAAGGAATCTGCAGAGATAGGTCGCTCAGGAGAGGTTCTGAAAGACCTCTGGATACAACTCACAGTGTCAGAAAAGAATGAAAGACACGCAGATAAAAGAATCTTTCAAGTACATATATATAACCACCAAAGAACTCAAAGAGAAAAATCAAAAGCCACAGACCATAATAAGGAAATCCAGTCTGGTAGGCTGATTTAAAAGGATGGTAGCAAGGTACTGCATTTTCTTAAATTTACCCAACAGATGGTAAGTTTGAGACATTGGGACTTATTATAATTAAGGGTATTTGGTTTTCTTTGAGACAGAGTCTTGCTCTGTCACCAGGCTGGAGTGCAGTGGTGCGATCTTGGCTTACTGCAACCTCTGACTACCCGGTTCAAGCGATTCTCCTGCCTCAGTCTCCAGAGTAGCTGGGATTACAGGCTTGCATCACCACGCCCAGCTAATTTTTGTATTTTTAGCAGAGACAGGGTTTCACCATGTTGGCCAGGATGGTCTTGATCTCCTGACCCTGAGATCCGCCCACCTCGCCCTCCCAAAGTGCTGGGATTACAGGTGTGAGCCACCACGCCTGGCCAGAATTAAGGTTATTATTAGCATCCAGATGCAAATTAAATAATCTTTCTCAAAAAGGAATTTTTAAATGCCCCACTCTAATATGAAGATTCTACAATCCTTTCATATTTATCTATATAAAAATCTAGTACTCTAGTTGGCCGGGCATGGTGGCTCATGCCTGTAATCCCAGCACTTTGGGAGGCTGAGACAGGTGGATCACAATCTAGTGATCTAGAGTATAATCTTATACTCTGTAGACATGATCTATTAGAAGAACTTCTGAAGGTCGCCTTGTTACAGTGACTATTGAAAGGCTGTGAAACGGGGCCTGGGATGTAAGCAACACATAGTAGATGCTTGTGACTACTTACCTGAATAGAGAAAAAACCACTGTCATCCATATTTCCAGAAGGCTGCTGTTAATTTTGACAGGTAGTTGAAGCACGCGTGGGGGTGGGGAAAGAAGGATACAAACTGTCATTAGCGTGCATATTTAAAATAACATCTTTGCATTTCCATTTCCAAAGTTAACAGTGCAGTTATAATTCACCAGTCAGATCCCTATACGAAGAATGGCACATCCTTTTCTAAATAGTATCCACGTTTTTAAAAGAAATGTAAGCCGAGTGTGGTGGCTCACACCTATAATCCCAGCACTTTTGGAGGCCGAGGCAGGTGGATCATGAGATCAGGAGTTCCAGACCAACCTGACCAACATGGTGAAACCCCGTCTCTAACAAAGATACAAAAAATTAGCCAGGCATAGTGGCGTGTGCCTGTAATCCCAGCTACTTGGGAGGCTGAGGCAGGAGAATTGCCTGAACCCAGGAGGCGGAGGTTGCAGCGAGCTGAGATCGCGCCATTGCACTCCAGCCTGGACAACAGGGCAAGACTCCGTCTCAAAAAAAACAAAAAGAAAGAAAGAAATGTGACTTAGTGAGTTTAACATCAGTACCTGTAAAAACGTGCGATAATCTTCACTAGTAACTCCTCCTTCTGCCATTCTCATCCTCTCCTCCTCATCCAGCTGATGTGCAATTGAG